TCATTGGACATCAAGGTAATGAAGCCTCTTTGAAGTTCAAGCTCTAGTGTGCTTGGCCAGTTGTACTGTACTGCTAGAACATGTTGACCTTCACCATGATAAATTTGTAAACAGTATCACTCTCTGACCCCTAACAGTTTATTTTCCATTATATAAATAAATATCAACACTATCAGTAGATAAGCTGATAGTTTGTAGTACAGACTAAAGGTCAGGATGACCCAGTAGAAGTCAGTCTAATCTATCTAACCTAGTCTAGCAAGACTAAAAAAAACCTACCAACATCTGTGTAGAAAACTAATTTTTGTTTTTTCCCATTATCTTTTTATTTTGTGAGTTACTGTGGAATACTTTATTTTTGCTGGAATTAATTTTCGCTGAAAAGGCTTTTTGGGCGTTTTGTATGGAATTTATTTTCACTGATTTTTGATGAGTTTAATGTTAAATATAGGAAAAAAAGTATATTCGCTGGATTTTATTTTCACGGAATCATCCCTTCAGCGAAAATAAATTCCAAGTGAAAATATAGTATTCTACAGTAGTAAAATTATGTCACATTTCGCAATGTCTAAATTTTGTTTTTCGAAAATTTAGATCAAATCCTGTAGCAAATGGAAAATTACAGCATGATTGTGATAGGAAAAGTGCATTATGGGAGAGATTCTAATTCACTATATTAAAGTGAAAATATTATGAATAACTTTTTAGGGATTCATTTTTTACCAAAATCCAATCCAAAAACAAAGATGAAAAAAAAAATTTTCCACTTGAGTTTTCCAGACTTGATTGTGTTTTTATTTCTTAATGATGGGAACCATATCATCATGAACAAAAATATAATTCATTTCAATTCAGTTTAATATTTACACTGTGACTAGAGACAGAATTTCCTGCCACTAAGATGCACTTTATTCATTATAAAGCTGGAGCTGGACTTTCCCGCCACTAGGAGCCAGCTTTTAAAGAGCTTCACTTTTTCCAGCTACACACCAATTACCAATTACAGTCAGTTTTCAGTGAATCACCCGATGAATGTCAACATGACCTACTGACACATTGGGCTGGCTGTGATTGATATTTATTGTCAATTTAACCTAGAAAGCGGTCAGCTTGTACCACATGGTCAAGTTTTCTCAGCTTGTATCACAAGGTCAAGTGTTCAGATCATAAATCTTGTCAGGATTACCAGGATGATGTGATTGTACCTCAATAATCTGATCTCTTGGGGCTGAACTAAACTATTTTTTTTCTTAATAATTGTTTATGAAGACATTTGATAAGATAAAAAACAACTAAACGAAATCTAAAATAGTGACAGACTTATTTCTAACTGTCACCCAGGGCAGGGCAGGGCTGCTATTCACAACAGTTCCTGAAAAAAATGCAAAGCAATGCAGTTGAGGTTGAAATTATTATCATCTGTATACTTTGTGCACATATAATTCGTTTCATTTGATTTACCCTGTTCTATGATTACTCGTAGATTCCATAATACAATTTACCGAGATGGATTACACGAGTTATATTTTCAGTAGGAAATCTCCTAAACAGATCAAATGCTATTATCTGCACAACTATGATAGAAATTATTATTATTGATGTTGTTGATGTTGTACATCCAGTTTTCAAAAAAACCTTATACAGTATGACTGTCTATACATATACCTCAGGATGATCCCACACATGACCAGGTCATCTAAATGTCGGTGATAACCAGGCCAAGGTACATTATAATTAGATTCAACCACATGTCGCAAATCAACTTAGCACTAATACCAGCATTGTATGTCTGGATGGAAAAATGCTTATAGACATAACTAGGACAAAATACAAAATCGAAAAATTGATAGACTAAAATAGGAATATAACTATCTCTCAAATTATAATTTCTGTATTGTTTTGAATTATACTGTATATATAGCAGTAGAATGTTTATGTCGTCATAGATCATACTGGTTATTTTTCAGTATGGTAATAATAATAATAACTTTATTGTATCCTTAGAAGTACATATTTTCTATTGGTTTACAGAAATAAATATATAAGTGATTAAAATAATAGCAAAGTGAAAAACATAAAAAATAGAGGAAAAAAAAAAAGAGAGTTAAGGCATTATATTCAAAGAAAGCTCATTTCTTAAAATGAATGATTTATGCAGAAATTCCCCTAAAAGTTTAATTATATTTCTGTCATTATTTTTCATTAAATATGTGAATTTTTGCAAGTTGGTAATTATTTTTTTTGGGAATAAAATACTGAAAATAAAATCATTGCATTTCATTTTGGTATGAGTGTACTTCGTACTACAGATGCCACTATGTCATCCATCTAAAACCCACAAATCATGGAGTCTTCTCCCTCAGTCATGCCACTTGTTTGTTTCAGAGTATTGCCCTTTCAGCTGTTACTATCAATGACAGTTTTGGTGCTAACAAACGACCTCCACATTGAAATGACACTTGAACTTTGACCACACAGATGATGGAAATTTCCTCTTTGATTATTTAGCTGAGATCTGTTACTGTGTGCGTGTACTGGAATGATATTATTGATGAACAATGTTAACATTCCGGATAGATTTCAACATAAAATTCCAAGTAAAATTTTTGAACTTTCCATCATTTGGCTTTTTTGCTAAATAAATACGAAATTCAAAATTTTTTTCTTTATCACAAATGTGTGATATATTCAATAGATTTCCAAGTCTAGAAATGTTCAGTATGGGGGAAAAAACAATAAATCTGCCATATAGTTTAAAAAAAACACAAATTTTTGTTTTCAGTATAAATGTATAACCT